CCTCGGTCTCAAGTCTTCAAACATGAGAGATCTTATTGCGTAAGTCACTTCCGATGTCGGAAATCAAGCCTCCCCGTGGCGTCGAGACTGGAACCAGGTGTCGCGAAGGCACTTTAGTGGAGAACGTTCGTTAGCCCACGTTAGAGCCGATTTTATCGATTCGAGACGTCAACTGCGTCATACTCCTATTTGCCCCTCGCGTTCAACCACGTTTAACCGCGCACGGCCACCCCAATGCCTTCTTTTCTGCGCTCGTTCGTTTTCCTCCGTTTTCTCCCCCTCCTCCTTCTGAGCACACGCTTCTTACGTTATAAAATACTATTACGTTATAGACGATAGACGGTAGACGGTAGCCAGGTGTCCCGAAGAGCGCCCCCGTGTTAATCCCCCTCTACTTTAATACGCAGGTGTGCCCGGCACGCGCACTTCTGCATCCCTCTCGCGCGAACACCGCCATTTTCTCTCTTTCACTCTCTCCTTTTTCTTGTTTTCCTCGATAAAAAGGTACTGAGCGTTTCTGAAGGGACGCGTGCAAGTGGAGTCTTCAGAAAATGTCAAAAGTAAGTTTAAGTATAGTAATTCCGAACACAAATTTATACGCGTATGTAATTCAAGAGATTTAATTCTTATCAGAAAGTGACATTCGAGAATTTTACTTCCAGCAAAATAATGTTATTCTTTCTCATGTTCGGCTGTAAAAGTATATAGCATAATTAGAAATAAATAAATATATTAGTACTAGGAGAAATTTCTAGTTGAAAATAGACGAACCAGAAAGTTTTGATTATATCAATTAGAATATTCCGGTTACCTCAACTAGAATTATAATAAAAACTAGTAGTTCTGATTCAACCAGAATTACAATTAATTCAACCAGACTCTATCAGTGAAAAATGTAAAAAAGTCCATTAGAGCCTACATCAGCTATTCGGATGCACAAAAATTCTTTTCGATTTATTTCGATTTATATTTTATATTGATAAAGACCCGAATTGAAGGGTTGAAACGTGTATATTTGTTTTGTTACATTCACACGACAAATAAAGAATTTTTGTGCATCCGAATAACTGATGTAGGCTCTGATGGACTTTTTTACATTTTTCACTAATAGATTCTTTCGAGCCTCAATATATATATTTGTTCAACCAGACCTCTTTTTCGGTTAGAGCATATACTTATATTTCGACAAAAACACATTTCGTTTAATATTAAAAGTTAGAAGCATTAAATAAAATTATTTAAATCTGCAAGAACTGAGAGAGAGAGAGAGAGAGAGAGAGAGAGAGAGAGAGAGAGAGAGAGAGAACGAAAATGAGAGCAAGAAAGTTTTACTCATACTCTCTCTGTCTCTTTCTCTTTTTCGTTCACTAAATAAATCACTACATAGTTTATCCGAAAATGGAACAACCGATCTTTAATATTTAAATTTTCTGTAAAGATACCTAATGGGAAAATAGTTAATTTATATCGAGCCATCATCTACCGAGTGACAGGCCTCACACGCCGTGCGATGATAACCGCCTTGAACATAAGGCGATCCCGACTGTCCGTTTTCTGAATTCAATGTGAACAGAAAGTAGGCTATCTAACAAGATGGCATAAGGCGCACGTGCTATACGCGTGGTTGACGTCTCGCCAGATGACTTTTAATTAAATTACCGTAATTACAGAAGCCCGAAGTCACGGCCGAAGGCGTCTTTTCGATCGA